AAATGTTAAAGGGAATCAATGTCTAGAAATAGTTTCGAGGAAGAATAGAAAAAGAAATCAAGGAGTTAACAGTGTAAGAGAGTAAATGAGTATAATATGTGTTGTTCCTTAACAGGAAATAATAATAATAATATTATCAATTAAATTAAGATTCTTTTTAAACAATATATCTTTTTGAAATTGTATAAGAAATTTATTTTCTCTTGTAAGCCTTCTTCCTTTCATTATAATTTATAGTTTGATACTTGGTAGTTGCCTAAATATTTTTTCCTAAAGCTATTAATATTTGTAGAATTCTTTATTTTAATTGAATAACAAAGTTATAATATAGATTGACTTTACTTTGAATTAAAATTTTAGAATTTTGGTGGATTATTTCACATTATTCGTTAAATTAATCGAGTAAAATAACATATTAGTCGATAAAAAAAAAAGTAGTTTGCAATTCATCTTAAATCAAAAGATTCTTCATCAACTAATTTAAAATTCACTTTTAGAGCTCGATTTGCTTCAGATATAAAAATGAACACCATTGTTGACCTTCCAGTGATTTAGGCCAACAACTGATTTACTAATATTTCTAATAGCAATTAATTCGAGTTCAAGTTCAAGTCCTCTAAGCAAGAAACCTACTTGATCCAAAGTTCATTCACCAATTCGGCTTTTGCAAGACTTACTGACATTCTAGGCATCCTAATTATTAATTTTGATAAAAAATAGAAAGGGCTATTTTAATTTATTTATATTAATAATCAATCTTTATTATTATTATTTATATCTCTCTAAATCGAAGTCAAAAATATTACAGCGATAACTATTATTAATAATAAACTAAAAAAAAAATTTGCGCAATCATCCATTTCTTTTTCTACATTAGCTAGTTCATTTAGAATTGGAGATTATTAAACATTGTTTGCTTTTTGAAAATCTTATTGTTAACATTTAATTTAATTATTTTTAAGGCTTTAATTCTAAAGAGAGGAAAAATCTCCAATTTATTCTTCAAGTTTATATAAAAGTTTATTTGATAATATTTATGAGTCTGAATAAGCTTGATTAAATTTTTACAAATCATTCTTAGTTTCAGCAACAAGTGAATTCAAATTTTAAATTGAATTTTATTATTCTTCTGAATTTTATTATGCTTGGATTACAAATTTGTAAAATTATCCTCCAATTTTTAATGAAAACTGCTAATTGAATTGTTCAGTGTGCTAAATTATTATTCAATTTTGTTATTAAATGCATGAGATTGAATCGTCCTTTAAAGTTCTTCAAATTTTAGTTAACATAGTTCAAGTTCTTTTTGTTAATTAATAATATTCTAGTGAAATTTTTTTGAATTGAAGTCTAACTCAGTTAAAAATTATAATTCATCATTGACTTAATTTGAAAAAATACCTTAAAATTTATTTTAGTAATCTTGATGAAGCAACTAATAATGTAAATTAATTTATTCTTTAGTTATTGTAAAAGGTTTCTAATCAAGATGATCAAAAAAATCTTTAGGAAAATCAGGATTTAAAAATTGACTTAACTATTATTATTCCAATAAAACTAAATTTTCTTTTTATTTTTCATAATTTTGATAGTAATTTTATTATGCTTCATTAATTTTTAATAAATTAATATCAACTGATTTTTTAATGTCATACTTAAAATTCTTCTATAATTCTTCATTTAGTTCTTTTTTTTATGACTATCCTTCCATTACAATAACAATAGATTTAATATAATCTTCTGATTGATGTTCTTTGCTATCTTGTGTAATACATTGTAAGCACTATAATTATATTGGATTCTTCTATAAACAATTAGGATGGATACATAATACTTCCTTTTAACATTAATGTTTTTTACACTTTTCAATTTAATAGTTATTTAAATTACCTAATTCTATTTAGTAATTCATTTAAGCAAAACTTAGAAAATGTTCACTTTAAATGAAATTTATTTAATTTATCAATATATCCCTCTTGATTTCAATTTAGTTTAACTAATATTCTAGTTATCTCATTGATTGGTCCCTTATAGCTTACATTTAATTTTAATTTTCTAATAGATTTAATTTATAAAAATAAATATATGTGTCTATTGATTGGCTTTTCATTAGAGTATCAGCCTTTCTTATATTTTGAATTAAGATCTAGGTGGAGTTTTCAGTTATATCATTGAACATTTTTTTTTAATTATTTTACCAAGTAGTAAGAGAAAGTAAAGTATTCGATAATCGTTCCTCAATCTTTGTACGTAACTATATATTCTGCTAAATTTCGTGATCCAGATGTTCTTTTAACTTTGAGTAATTTTAACTAGCAATTGTTTCAAGTTCTGAAATGTTCTTAAAATCATGATCAATCAATTAGGTGTTTTTATGGTTGGAATGGTAGCACTAAATACAACATAACTTGTTATCGACCTTTTTGAGACAAATTGGATGGACACAAATGTACTTTTCTTCCTCTTAGTCGTGAAGTGAGCAGATGGATTTATTCATTAATTAATTAACTTAAATGGTGTCGTTGGGGGACCCTTTAATAAATTTGAAATTCTATTAAAAGATTTATTATAAGAACCCAAATAATTAAATTTTGTAGAAAATTTTTCATAAACAATTTTTATTTTTCTGAATAGATAAATTATTCAAAATTTTAATAAAATTATTTTACAATTTACATAATTTATTATATTTCAAAAATTTTTCTATCAATAAAAGCAATTTTATTTGGACTTTAGAAGGAGTTGCATGTTTTTCAGTGGTACAAAAATTGAAGAATATATTCATGATTTATAAAATTAAAACAGATCGATGTATGCCCTATCACTAGTATATATTTTGATTTTAAAAAAAAGAGATAAAATGAGCACATTCTACCTTATCTTGATGAATATATTCAAGTCCATTATAGTTTTTGGATATTGATTTTGGCTGAGTGTCTCCCTATGTATTAATCCAATCTTAAAACACTAACCTGCTCTTTTTAAAGGATAAAAACAAAGTATTTTTTTCATAACCGTGTCTTTACATCTTATAAACACTTTTGATTAATGAGATAAATGATCAGTGTTAACAAAGAAGATAAATTAGATCGCAATTTGTTTATTTGCATATCAAATATAATTCTATTCCAATCTTGTGGATTTTAGGTTAATTAGCTGATTACAATCAATTACCGATTTTATTTCAGTAATCCTTTTATGCTACTATGCTAGCTTGATATTTTGTATTTCATAAGATATTAGGTCAAATTTTGGATCTTCTTCTCATTTGTATATCTAAGAGGACTTTGAATATCAAACAAAGATTAATCATTATGGATAAGCAATCATTATATCATATTTGTTGTTATTGAGTAATATTGACTGATTTGAAAATCATCTCATTATCTCAAATATATTATGGTAGGGGTGTTGTGATTAAGAATTAATTTTAATAATTATGTATGAGTGGGGGGGGGATGAGTGCTAAGTATTTCTACACAATTGAATTTATGTTTCACTTTCTTTCAAACTTTAAATTCTAAAGAATTTCTTTGTACAACAATTACTAATATTTCTAAAAGTATTAAAATAACTATATATTCATAAAAGTGGAGTTTCATTGTTTTGTATATAATTGGGTACATTTAATACAATTCTTTGAAGCCAAGCATGATTCTAGGCTTGTTGTGCAGTAAATCGATCTCTAGAAAGACGGTTTCATAAGATTCTCAATGAAATCCTTTAAATCTCTGGATGCCGTATAAGGAATCATAAAACAGGCCTACCATATCTAACAAAAATTACAGTTTTCATCAATTCTTATTAATTCTCTTTCCAAGGTGGTTTACCAAAACATAGTTCATAGGTTAACACACCCAATCCCCAGATATCACTTTTCTTATCATAGGTTTCTCCTTCTAAAATTTAAGGAGAAGCATATATGATTGTTCCACACTGAGTTTATCTCTCTTCATCAGGAGAATACACACAAAATGAGAAATCAGCTAATTTCACTTATCCAAAACTTAGAAGGATATTATCAGGTTTGATGTCTCGATGAATGACGTCTTGATTGTGAATATACATCAATGCAAGTGTAATTTGTTGTATATATTAAGCTGCTATTCTCTCTTAAAACTTTTTCACTGGTTGAATTTGTTAGAGAGCAGTTAATTATCCATGTGAACAATATTCTAACACAAGCACAATTTCAGTTGCTACAATACTGAGAATGATTTACGAGTTTAAAAGAAAGTGTATAATTTGGTTATATTAGGATGTTCAAGAAGATATTGTATTTTTATTTCCCAAGCCAATTATGCTTACATATTCTCTTTAATAATTTAAGATTTTTGAATCACTTTTAAAGCAACCAAAAAGCCTGTTTGTATATGCATTGCAAGAAAGACTTCGCTATATTGTCCATCTCCTAATTTTTTGATGATTGCAAAATTCTTATATTTTTCTTTGGGTTTTTCTAGTTTTTTGATCGGAGAACTTGTTTAACTAACAGGCGTAGAAACTTATTTCTTACAGTTTAATAAATTCTATACTTTTGAATATTCTTCTCTGACATTAGCCATCAAGGGAATGAGTGGGATTACAAGAGGGATCTCTGATTAAAAGGATAGTGATTCCACTTTTTTCGGAGATTAGTATTCTTATTTCGATTTTAGAGTAGGCTAAATAACCATGGATTTTTGCGATAAGATTAAGGGAGAATTGGTTGTAATTTTTAAATCTGTATTACTTTTGATTGTGTTGGTCTAATATGTTTGATACTTTGGTTATGGGTCCAATTACACAGAAGCATAATTATTTCTAGATTTTGATAGCACTGAATCGACATAAGACATAATATTTGGGTTATGCACTGAAGTATTGGGTACTCTTTAATATGGCCTATATGGCTGATAAGGATAATTCATTTAATTTATTTACGCATCTATTAAGTTTAGAAAATATATATAAGCCAATAAAAGTTTATCATGAGTATATCATAATTTATTATATGATTATTGCTATTATTAAATGTTCTCTCGTTATTTAGATTATTTATAGTATTATATAATAAAATGATCTTAAATGGAAACTTATTAGCTAAAGAAACCATCTCTAGAATTGCCTAGCTTATAAATTATCACACCTTGAGTATTCAATAATAAAATTAAGGAACACCCTGCTTTAATGAGACCTGGTCTGGCCATTATTTAGGTTGGAAACAATCCATCATCTTTAACATATGTTCGCAAGAAGATAGCTCTCTGTGAAGAAAATGAAGTACATCATGAACTCCATCATTTTCCAGAGAGCATCACTCAGCAAGAGATCGTTCATTAAATTAGAACTTTAAATTAGCAAGGATCCATTGATGGAATCCTTGTTCAAGTATGTCGTATAATTATCAAAAGCTTCCTTTGCCACCTCATCTATCCAGATTGGAAATTTCCAACGAAATCAAACCAAGTAAAGATGTAGATTGTTTACACATGGCCAATTTTCAAAATCTTCTATAAAATGGGGAGGATAACGACATTATACCATGTACACCAGCTGCAGTGCTTCATATCTTGGACACATAGGAAATTGATGTGAGAAATCAGAATGTTACTGTGATTGGTAGAAGTCAGTTAGTTGGATTCCCATTATCAGTTTTGCTTCTGAGAAGAAATGCTAAAGTCACTATCTGTCATTCCGAAACAACAGTCTAAGAACATGTACAAAAAGTATATATACAATTAAATCATTCATTAGGCAGACATTGTGATTTCATGTGCAGGTCATAAAGAATTGGTCAAAGGGGAATGGATCAAAAATGGAGCAAAAGTTATTGATGTTGGAATTACTAGGATTCCAGGAACCAATAAGATTGTTGGCGATATCGAATTCCAAAAAGTTTAAATATTCTTTATACTAGGCGCTTTCTAAAGTCAGTTTCATTACACCAGTCCCAGGAGGAGTAGGTCCTTTGACTGTTTCTATGCTATTTAAAAATCTATATAGAGTATGGTGTCGATCAAATGGTTTAAAGCTTAACATTGATGAACAGGATGAAGAATTGGATTATGCTTAAAACTACTAATTCTGAATTATTTTATAATTTTTATCACTTTTAAAATTAAACTTAAAATACAATTTAGGTGCACTGCCTAATAGAAATGCAACTTATTTATGATCCTCCCAATATTTATTCATGCTTTATCGACTTTCTTGCAATAATTTCGAAATCCAAATATAAACAATTGTATTAAAATAAGTAATGCTCACTATGTTGGTAAAAAAGTTTACTTAAGACATAGTGCCTTAAATTTAAAAGAAATACAAAATTAACAAAATTTATTGATAAAATGGATTCACCACATAACTATATTTTAAAATTTAATTTTGTTTTAACAAATGATTTTTTCATATAAATTTAAATTGCCTTTTGATTAAAGAATTATCACAAGAATATCTTCTGTTCATAATGTTTTTTATCCAAAAATTTCTGACTTAGTTATTTAATTAATTATTAATTTTATTGTTTGAGGAAAATTGTATTGGTGAAATGGATAATGATTATTAAAATAAAAATGCTTCAAATAATAGTATTTTTATTATCATTCTCCTTTGATATTTCTTAATTACCAAATATAATCGCTTTTCAATAATAATTTTATAACTACTGTTTTTATCATTCGATAACAAAAGTCACATACTGCTTTAATTCAAGATCTTAATATTCGAATGAAGCTCGAATTATAGAGAAAAAGAAGCAGAAAGATGGAATAGACAAAGGTAACCCAATAATGATGAATTATTAATAATGATTTATTGCATAAACTCATGCTTTAGCAATTCTTCCATTTAAGAAATCTAAGAATGGTGGAGTTTGAACCACTTACAATGCTTTAGCTAAGACTGCTAATTCTTATTGGACAGATGACTAATGGAATATAAATATATAAATTTACCACAATATCATCATGAATTTTAAGGTTGGCTGAATAATTATTGTTTTCAGTTCTCAATCTATCTTAATAAGCTTTAAGATCAGCTTCTCTAGTTGAGATCAGGGTTTCAACATCAGAGATTCTAACTAAAAAGTATGATAAGATGATATGATACCTGTTTTATCTTCTCTTTCTTAATAGAAATCAGCATATTATTGATCAAATACTGCTTTTTCAGCTGTCAATTATTATCTTCTTAATTCATCTTATTATTTTTGACTATCTTCATCTTTATAAGCTTTAGTCAAAGCATCAAAGATATTCAATCTTAAACTGTTCAAGAAATCACACATTTCCTTTAAAACTTATCTATCTTTGAAGTTGAATCCTTCAGTCAAATTAGTCAATGCTTAGATGAATGATGAATATTAATGACCAAAATTCTCAGTATTGGCTTTGACTTATCTTAAAGCTTTATTGACTTTGTGTTTCTATTCATCAGATACTTCAATGAATGCAGCTCTTACTTCTCCACTTTTGAATAGATCAGTTAATAAATCTAATGCTTCATCAATATTTCTTAAAGCATCTGTAAATTCAGTTGTAGTCAATACAAATGATTCATGTTAGGTATTTCTAGCAGCTTCAGCTTCTTTGAATGATTAAGTATTATCTGTTTATTTGGCTTTGAGTCCTAATAAGATCTATAATTTGTAATTATATTTATACATCATCTAATTCATGAAGTCTTGGTATCAATTCAGAATTCAATACTTTCTTTTCTCTATTGATATCAAATTCAGCTTAATTAGCTTATGAACTGAGTGAAATAACTTTAGCATTATGTTCACTTTCAACAACTTCCCATTGTGTATTTTCCAAATTCAATCTCTCTTCAATTTGACGACCAAAGGCTTTGACTCCTTCTACTAATGAATCTACGGCTCCAGTAACTCTCATTGTAACTTCAGCCAAATCAATTACCATATGTCCAATCTTTGATTATGTTAATTCATCTATTGAAGATTACAGACCTGGATTAACATATGAATCCATAACACCTTAATTACTTTATTAGTTAAATCATTAATATCTTACTTTGTAACCGTAGTTGCTGAAACTAAACAAATCAGGGCGAAGAGAACAATCTTATGATGTACCATAGATGAATTCGTTTTTTATATAATATAATATTTGAGAGTTTATTATAATTTGAATGTGAACACTCATATTTAATAAAAGGGCTAAAAAATAACATCAAAGAAATTATAGATTCAAATATAACTATTAGTTTATTCTTTCGATTCGAAGGGGGAATAGTTTCTTTCGTTAGACTTTTGTTGTTGTTTGGGCCTGTCTTGATAGATAGATTTGGCTGTAATTGAGGTTAATATTGGGAGAGGGTATTGTGTTTATGTCGAATTGGAGACAGATTAGATTTTGGAGTAGATATTTACGAAACAAAAAATCTCTGGGGGAGATGAAAAATTTGAATTATACTTAATTGATAATATTGACTAAAAGAGTATTATATATAAATATGAAACCCTTTTTATTGGTTTTGCTTCTAGTTTTGAGTGGGTCATTAGGGAAGGAGATCATAGTTGGGAGTGACTATGAATGTGAATGCTTGCAACTGATGGTGCAGGATGATTGCATAAAATAAGGTTGTTAGTGGTAGGATTATGCATGCAAAGTGAAGTTAAAATAAGGATCGGTACATGATGGAGAGAGTGAATCATTTTGTTCTCAATTTGATAAAACTAATTGTAGTATTTAATCAGGCTGTGCATTTTTGGTGGACAAATGTGTTGAATTTAGTGCATGCAGTAGTTATTTATAGAGCACAAATGAATTGTGTCAAAGCATATCTAATAAGTGTATAACAGACGGAGAGAAATGTGTGGAAATCAGTGTGTGTTCTGATTACAGGACAGCAATATCATGCAGGAAAGATACAGAAGGGAACTATTGTTATTGGGAAAATGGGAGTTGTTCAAAGAGTTTAGATTGTGGATAATTGCCGAAATCATTGACGAGTGATGCCGAGTGCAGAAGTGTGAACAGTGACTGCACTGTATCATCATAAGGTGGATGTTAATTGAGCGGATTGAATTGTTACAATTAGGAAGGGGAATAACAGTGTGTTTGGGATAGATTCATGCAGGTGAGATGTAATTGGAATGGCATAACTTGTGTTGATAGATCATGTTAATCTGCTCCAATAAGTATAAAGAGTAATGAGGAATGCAACTCTTATTTAAAGGGATGCATCTTAACAGTAGGTGGAGGATGCGTTGAGCTTAGAAATTGTGTAGATATCTCAATTAGTGCAGCATGCGTTATTGATAAGAATGGTAAGCAGTGTTATTGGAAGAATGATTAATGCGTAGAAAAGGTTTGCAGCAATGCATCTGAATTAATAAGAACATTTGAGGAATGTTAACAGTTTTTGAATGGGTGTGTACCTAGTTTGAAGGGTGGTTGTTAAACTTTCAATAAATGTGAAGACTTCATTGATTAAACAGGTTGTTAGAGTGGATTATTGAATTGTTCTTGGAATACGAAATCGTGTGTTTAATATAGTTGTATCAATGCAGACAAAAATTATAATACCCATGAAAAATGTTCAGAGTACAAATCCGATTGTACAGTAAATGCATCAAAAAATGGTTGTCAAGATAGAACTTGTGATAATGCTCCAAAGGAATTAAAAAGTAATTATGATTGTGAATTATATAAATCTGGTTGTATTACCAAAATTAATGGGGGATGTGTCATGAATTCGGATTGCTCCATTATTACAATGAAAGAAGCTTGTTTATTAGATTAACAAGGAAGAGAGTGTTTTTGGTACTTAAATTCCTGCAGATTAAAGACATGTACTAATGCTCCAAATGTTTACAACTCTCATGATCAATGCCAAACTTATTCCAAACTTTGTACAGTAAACAAAACGTTAAATGGATGTATGGATATGACTTGTGATGCTATATTCTAAAAGGATAATTGTGTTGTAGATAAGTTAGGGAATAATTGTCATTGGATTGGGTTATGTTTTGATAAGACTTGTGAAAATGCTCCAGTAAACAGCAGTTTTGTGACTGATGCTTAATGCAAGGGATATCTAAGTAAATGTACAGTCCGAAACACTGGGATGGGATGTATGGATAGACCTTATCAATGTGGAGAGATGAAAATAGCAGAATAATGTATCACAAATGCATACAATGTTCAATGTGAGTGGTATTAAAATTCATGCAAGAAGAAGGAGTGTTAGACAGCTCCGAGTTCACTGACAACATATGAGGGATGTAATTCGTATTTAATTGGTTGTACTACTACTGGAGCTGGCTGTTAATTATTAAACACTTGTGATCAATACTTTAACTCAAATAGTTGTCGATTTGATATAAACAACGATATTTGTCAATGGAACAATGGAGTATGTGCTAACAAGAGTTGTCAAACTGCTGACAATACACATACTACAAATGATTTGTGTAATACATATCTCACAGGTTTGTATTGTTAATAATGCTGGAGATGGTTGTATTCCAAAACCAGCAAATTGCTCAGATATGACTACTGCCACTTAATGTACTGCTACTTCTACAAATTTATCTGGTGATCCTTGTGCTTGGATTGGATCTTGTGTTGATAGGACTTGCAGTAATGCACCTGCAAGTACAGATTATGACACATTTACAGAATGCAATACTTTCTTGGATACTTGCACAGTTGTTGCTACAGGTACAGGAGGATGCATGACAATGATGACGAGTTGCAGTTCATACACATCTCAAAGATAATGTGAATAAATTCTGAATGGTAATAAATGTTCTTGGTATTTAACCTCTTGTTTGGACAGATAATGTATATATTCACCAGATACTGCCAGCTATGACGATAAAAATGAATGTCATGGTTATGATAATAGATGCAATGTAGTACGTAGAATAGGTGGTACTGGTTGCACCATAAGAAAGGCGACTTGTAATGAATTGTCATAGCATTAATGTGTGAAGGATAGTGCAGGTACTATTTGTACTTGGAACACATCTGCAAATCCTCCTTATTGTCTAAATAGAACTTGCAGTTTGACTATTGGAATTGCTAGTTTTACTCCTACAACTTGTGCTAATTGGTTGCCTAC